GGGTGGACATAGGGACAGCAACTAACTTCTCGAAGACAGCCCATCTTTGCTCCCCATCCCCTCTTCTCTTCCCTTTCTCTGCCCATTGGCAGGCAAGGATCCTGAGCCCCAGCAGTTTCCAGCAGCCTCCCCTTCCTCTGTGCTTGCAGGCAGAAGCTAGAATTAGGCTCCTGATGCAGGCCAGAGGGGCAGAGGCCCTGCAGCAGGTCCTGGGGGAGAGCTGCAGCGGCCACTCCCGGCACCATTCCAGTGCATCACTGGACACATTTCTTACCATGCAACCTGCAGGTGATCCTCCCTCTGGGCACTGCAGGTGGTCCTCCCCCTGGGCACTGTGGAGACAGCTTCATGGGCACTCTGCCACAAACATCCATACCTTGCTGGCCGCCTCAACTTCCCCAAGGAAGAAGCAGGTGCAGGGCCAGAGGAGGGGCCCCAACATCCTCACTGACAAGCCCGGGAGCCTGTTCCCTCTGAGAACTGAGGCTTTTCCTGGAGTGGAGGCAAGTGCCCTGGGGGCATCATCCCCCACCTCTGGCCTGGCTCTCAGGAGGCTCAGGCTGACAGCCTGGCCAAGAAGGTCAGCTCCAGGGCAGAACATGGGCAGGCCTCCGTGGGGCACCTGCTTATCACCCAAGCCCCTCCTCCATCAGCCTGCCCTGGCTTGGCCCACTGGGGCGGGCAGGCTGCGTCTGCTCCTCCTTCTGGGCCTCAGGAGCACGGGCAGGTGAAGACAGGCCTGGCAGCCACAAAACACCGATGTGAAGCAGGGCAGGGAGTGTGGGGAAAACCTAAAGATCTAGGAAACTTGGGCAGTAAAAGCAAATGTTTTCAACACATTAGAACCCTAGACTTTGTTTCTAAATATTCGTTTTCTTTTGGAAAAGTTGGGAAGCACTAGCTTATGAAAATTTTAGGGTTTCATTGTTAACGTGGCCTTTCCATGTTAATGATTTTTTTTCTGAGCTACACAGTGAGACCGTTTTGAGGTATCTAACTGGTCTCACTGAGCTTGACTCACCAAAATGGTAAAGCTAAGGCCAAGTACTTGTAGATCTGCAAGTTTATGTTCATTCACAAAAACAGAAAAGAGTAAAGAGAAATGGTAAGGCCAGCGGCGTGGCTGGCTCATGCTGCTGCAGCTCCCTGGGAGCCAAGATTCAAAGGCAGACATGTCCTCAGGAACAGCCCCGCCACTGCTGTTGACCGAATTACAGACGTGCGGCACTCAGAGCTTGCTGCTAGAATGGGCCTGGTTGGCAGGCAGGGAGCAAACCGGGCAAGCTGAGCTCCAGCCCGACTGCCTCCCATTTCCTCCGTGGCTTTGCTGAGTCACTTTATCTCTTGAAGCTGCAGTTGGCATCGGTAGGAGAGGTGGGGCAGGTGATCCTAGAGTCTCTGATTCATAGGCAAGGGTGGCTACAGCGTGGCACCTCTTCAGATGTCCATCCATTCATTCCACAGAGTTTACTAAGCACCATGCTGGGTTTCCTGTGATGGAAAGGGGTTCCTAGAGAGTGACTCCACCGCGTAAGGGCACAGGGCACACTCGCGGCCCAGGACCACAGCCAGCAGTCGGAAGCTGCCATTCTTCCTGTGGCTGACAGATTCCCCCAGTACAACCCTTGAGAGAAGCAGATCTGTTTCCAGCCACCCTCACCATGCCCGGAAGCCATACAGCATGACAGAATAGAGAGGTGGTGTTAGTCTGCACAGGCCATCAGTTTCCAGTAGTCTAGAGGACCAGAAGAATCCAAGAATCAATCATTGCTGATTGTCATACTTGAGAATTGAAGATAATTAGAGAAAGTGGCAAAGATGCTCCAGTGGCGCTGGCTGCCTTTTGGCCTCCAGCACCATTCCCCTTTCCTCATTCCCGAGTGAGGAGAAGCACCATCTCCAGGATACAGCCCACCCCTCTGTCTCAGTGGTCACGTGATCTGAGCTAGCGAATCAAACTCTCCCTGGTCCTCGGGCAGGGACACGGTGGGTGGATGGGAGGTAGGAGCTCATCTTGTCCAGGAGAGGATACTTAAGAGACCAGGGTAGATCCTGCTGCTTAGGGACGCCAGTGCTGCCTTGACATCCATGCTGAGTTTGATTTTCCTGGTTGATACAATAGTTAGAGAACCTGACTGAGAGCTGGGGGAGGTGGGTTTTTTTGTTCTCTGTTCTTTTCATGCATTGGCTATTATCTCTAGCTGCTAGACACTTTAGCAAAAATCTGGCAAATATGATTTCTCTTGATTTGTGATTGCTGACAGTTTAGTTGGGAATTTCTGCTGGTTCTCATAAACTGGCAGAAACTTGAGATGTTACACTTGGAGAGCCAGGGAGATAGCTCAGTGGCATAAGCACAAGGCCCTGAGTTCAATTCCTGGAACCAGGAAAAAAAAAAAAAAGAACTGTTGTTAACATTTGTTAAAGAGAACACTTGTGATTAGTATCTGCTCTGTGAATGTGGCTCAGTGCCTGCCTAGCACAAGTGAAGCTCTGGGTATAGAGAGAGA